AATGAACGCTTTAGAAACGCTGTGAAAAGATTAAGGACGTATCCAGGTGCTGATTGCAACACTGACCATATACTGCTTGGTGGAAAATTCAAAATGAGGTTAAAGAAAGTTCAATGAAGAAATCAGAAAAATGTTACTAATCAATTTCAATTAAACCTTTTGAAAAATGAAAATGATATAAAGAAACATTTTTGTCAAAATGTTAAAGATCAATATCAAAGAAAGTCACCATCTGAAGATACACATTCCTTGGAAGTTTTTAAAGAATGCATTGATGAAGGCAGCAGAGCAGTGTATACCGAAAAAGGAGAAGACCTCAGAAAATAAATGGATGACTCGTGAGATACTGGAAAAGATGGAAGAGAGAAGGTTAACAAAAGGTAATCAAGGAAAGTATAACAAAGTGAATAAAGAAATCAGAAAGATGTGTAAAACAGCAAAGGAAAAGTATCTGGAGGCGTGTTGTGCAGAAATTGAAGATCTTGAAAAGAAGGATGTACAAATAATGCATGATAAAGTTAGACAAATTACATACAAAAGAAAGAAAAATCTGACTAGCTGTATTAAAGATGAAGATGGCTTAGTTCTGATGGATGAGGAAGCAGTAAAGAAGAGGTGGACTAATTACATAAAGGGTCTCTATGCTGATGATGGAAGGAAAGAAAGACCAGTAATAAGAAAGCCGATGGAGGGGAGAGGATAACATCCACAGAAATCAAAAATGCAATGGACCAAATTAAAAGTGGAAAAGCTACGGGAAGTGATAACATCGCGTTTGAATTAGTTAATGCGTTAGATGATTTTGGAATAGAAAAGATCACAGAAATAGCAAACATTGTATACAATGCAGAAAATGTTCCTGAAGAAATGTTGGAATCAATTTTCATAGCTTTACCTAAAGAGTCTGGGACAACAGTTTGTGAACGTCACAGGACTATAAGTTTGATTAGCCATGTTACAAAGATTATTTTAAGAGAGGTATTAAATTGTATAAAAGAACCCATCAGGGAAAATATCTCAGATGAACAGTTTGGTTATAGATCAGGAAAAGGGACAAGAAATACAATAATAAGAAGGACAATAATGGAAAAGTGCATAGAAAAACAAACAGACTTATATATCTGCTTTATAGACTATGTGAAGGCATTTGACTGTGTAAAGCATGAAGAGCTGATTAAGATATTGGAAGAACTGGAAATTGATGGGAAAGATCTAAGGCTGACTAGAAACTTGTATTGGGATCAGAAAGCTGCCATCAGATTAAATGGAGAAGTGGGTGAATGAGTTGAAATCCAGAAGGGTGTCCAACAAGGTTGTATTTTGTCCCCTGATTTATTTGATATTTATAGTGTGAAAGCTCTAAGCAAGATCAAGACATGTATAGGGTTACAACTGGGTGGGATAAATTACAACAATTTGAGGTATGCAGACGATACAACTTGGCGGACTTGGAAGAAAAACTTCAAGAACTTGTTAACATCGTGTCGGGAGAAAGTGAAAAATTGGGATTAGCGATAAACTGCCAGAAGACCTTCTCCATGGTTTGTACAAAGAAAACGCAGGTTCCACTTTGTCGCTTGAAAGTGAAGGGAAACAGCATAAAACAGAAGGACTGTTTTGAATACTTGGGAAGTTGGATTTCGTCTGATGGACGATCGAATATAGGATATCCATTATAGGATTGGTGTAGCAAAGCAAACATTTAAGGATATGAAGAACCTTTTTTGTGCGGGGAGAATTGGAATGAAATTGAAGAAAAGATTACTGAAATGCTATATCTGTTCAGTGCTTACGTATGGATCTGAGTCCTGGACAATAAACAAGGCAATGGAAAAGAAATTAAAAGCTGTGGAAATGTGGTTCTACAGAAGGATGTTGAAGATCTTGTGGGAAAAGAAAATGACAAATGGAGAAGTGTTGCAAAAAGCGAAAACAGAAAGGCAGTTGATGAACACCATAAGAGAAAGACAATGGAGATTTGTTGGACATATTCTAAGAGAAGAAGGTGGAATTGAAAAACATATCATCGAGATGGAATTGAAGGGGAAAAGGGCGAAAGGAAGGCAAAGGATGAAGATGCTTGATTGGATGAAAGAAAAGCTGAATGTGAAGAATGATGTAGAGCTTGGGAATATTGCGAGAGATAGAAAGAGATGGAAAAAGACAGGACAGACACTGACAGACAATCCATGAACGCCTACGGCATAATATGCTATGGTACATGAAGAAGAACAGAGTCAATAAATTATTATTATTATTATTATTATTATTATTATTATTATTATTATTATTATTATTATTATTAATATCATCAACAGTTGATGCTAATTACTAGTTTATGTTCCATTGAATGAACTGTTTTGTTGAGTTTCCGTTCCTTACTTCCTCACCATTGTCTTAATTGTACTGTACTTAGTTTGGTTGTGTGGCAACAAATCCATTTTTATATAAATATAACAAATATAAAATAGAATCAATAGAGAGTTAATAAGTAAACAAATATACTGTAACAACAATAAAAATTGCATAAGGAAATTCAGAGACTGGAATTCTAAATTCATCGTAGTAAAAAAAAGTGCTCCCTATCCCCTTTTTTAATTAATTTATTCTATGTATTTACTAACAAAAATTTCCATGGTAACTCTGTGTCGTTGTCATACAAAGGGTTTGAGCTTTGCATAGCCAGGCACGCAGCAAGACCAATGACCCTTGATTCAGTTTGTATTTCCATAGCAGCAGAACTGTGGGAATGTTCCTATGAATAGCTCTAGAGGCAGCAGGTACTGGTATCAAATTGCATTTATTCCATCACTACCATAGCAAAAACTTTTGCCAGACTATTCAAAATTTTGATTGTAATTTTTTTTTTTTTTTTTGAGTATATATGTGTATACATACTTGAATGTATATGAGTATACATACTTGAATGTAGATATAAATACTAGAAATTGCAAATTGTAAGTGAAGTGCTGCGAAGTACAACTGCATATTAATGTTCTTCGAAAAAAATTATTTATGCGAGTCAAGTGAAAATAATGAATAATAAAAATATAACAAATAATATGAGACACGACCCATTGTCTATATTAGAACACTTCTCATTGGGTAACAAAGTCGTAATTTTAAGAGACAGGTGTCTATAGTGGTGAATTATGGTTTAGGTTTTTTTTAATAAAGTTTCAAAAATTTCTATGTATGTGGAAAATGTAGTTAATTACCAAAGGTTACAATTTTTATTTTGAAGACTGCATGGTCTAGGAAGTGTACATTTTTTTATGGGGCACGTTTCCAAGGGCGGGTTTTCTAGGGGCGAGTTGACTGCCAAAGAGTGTTGCTATTTATGTTATTGATCACAAGTGCGAGACATCACAAGTGTGTGAGCAAGGAGGTTAAATTGGTGTGAGCCAGCGAGCCATGACGTCACGACAATAGATGCGAGACGTTAACAAGTTATGCGAGGTATCGGCTGAGATTTGTGGAGTACAATTAAAAAAACAACTATAGGTCTAATAATGAATTATTGTGATGTTAAATAGACAATGTTAGCTATCAAGGAGCAATGTTGTTTTTCATTGGGACCTTCGTCCCTTCAAGGCTAGGCCTACCATCCTAGCTAGTCTAGGCCTGGCTAGCGCGACATGCGTTGGTACGAGTAGGTTAGTCTACAAACGTCGCCTAAAGTAATTGATTTTACCCGGCAGAACGAAAGAAGGAAACTCCGCTTTTCAGTCTTCTTGGCGCCTGTTTTTTGACAAACAATGACCTTTCAGAGGTCAAATTACTGTCAAGAATATGAATTGGCTGCTTCGCAGCAATTAATTGTAAAGAAGATCATAATCTAGAAGTGCTAAAACACTTGTCACAAGACCCTTAAAGAAATGTGAACATGAGTATACTGTATACTACATATACATATATGTGCATATTGCATACATACACATACACACAAATATACATTTTCTGACCAACTACATTATATTAAAATCATAAGATAAACCGATGCAACAACGTCGGAAATGGAATCCTATTTTATAAAATGGAACAGTTGGAAATTTTGTTAAGTATATTCTGGAACCACTCGTCTGCAACATGAACGGATTAACATGATATTTTAATTCCAACTACGAGTCGTCTACGGGTATACACGTTGCTTCATTTTACAAGGCTCAATTGATGTTTCTCTTAGGTTTTTTTGACGGTAAAATTTTAAAAAATTTGTAAATGTTTACAATATCCTTGTATTTATAGTGTAATTTGTATTTCTTACATTTTGTATGTCTTTTCTTTGTACAGTATTTATTATGCAACTGGAACAGAATCTTGTATGTGACATGTTATATGTTACAAAAATAAAGTTATCTTGTATTTTGTATCTTCAAGACTCTGCACGACACACAAGACAATTTTTTACTACAATTTCGAGCTCGGGTTACTCTTATACCTAACTAGTACACTACTCGGGATACTCGTTGCCGGTTTGTAATCCACGAGTTGGAGTTAGTTACAATCACCAGAAACATTTAGTCGGAAAACTTGTACCTAACTCACATCTAACTCAGTACAGTCAAGCTTGTTACGCTTGTAATAATATCGTAAAGCTTGTAGTAAACTTGGTGCTTCGCTCGGCATAATTCGTACATAACTCGTAACGAACTCCGTAAGGTAGTATCTCACTCGTAGTAAACACATACAGAGGTCCTTTCCCAAGCAAATTAAATCACAAGAGTTACGAGTTTTTAACTTATAGAACCCATGCGACTCTTGGATGAAATATGAGAGGCTTTAGTAAGTAAATTTTTGAAAATTACTACATCATGAATATGAAACTTTCAATTTGGAAAAAATTGAAAAACATCTAACAAAATGCAAATTATGAGCTTTATGATGGACAGGACAAAAAAATGCGGAGTTGCTAAATACAGCTCCACTATGAAAGATACTACTGTGGTTGCCAGAAAACTTGATACATAACAAAAAATAAATAAAATTTAAATACTTACATGCAACACTTATTGTGACATCATCAGATGCACTTGAAGGTACATCACCAACCAGAGAAACTTCGCATTTATATGTGCCATCATCAGTTCTCTTTGTGTTATTAATAACAAGAGTGTGTTGAGAGTCATTTTTTACAACACTAAATCTATCATTATAAGGCGGATTGACAAAAGCAGCTGAACTCTGGTACTGCACTATTTGGACAGGTGAGCCATTGACAATCTCTTCCCATGTAATTCTTGGAATGTTAGTATTTGAAGAAATATTTCTTTTTAAAGTACAAAATAATCGTGTTCCCTGGCCTTCAACAGCATGTCCATCAACAGATACAGTGACAATTACAGCAGAACATACACTAAAAACACTGAAAAGAATAATTAATGAAATGGTAATCAAATAGCCAATTCAGATTTATAGGTACTGTACAGTTTATTTTTATTTTTTTTTTATTTTTTAAATGTGGCGAAGACAAAACACAATTTTATTGCACAATCTTGCGCTTGGGCCATTTTTGGGGCAAAATATCTTACTTATTAAACAATTTATCCCTTTAACGAACTGCATAACTGCAATCAGCACAAAAAGTTGTCTTAGAATGAAAGGTTTCATGCCTCTAGACCGTTCACAGATAATATTATGCTCATTTGAAATAAATCATAACACAATTTTATTGCACAATTCTTGCACTTGGGCCATTTTTGGGGCATAATATCTTACTAATTAAACAATTTATCCCTTTAACAGACTGCATAACTGAAATCAACACAAAAAGTTGTCCTAGAATAAAAGGTTTCACGGCTCTAGA